GGTCAAATGCCAATGGTCTTATCCTCAAATGAACTGTAATAATCTCCCTGAAATGCACTCCTTGGAATTTACAATTGTTATGAAATGGAATTTATAATGAAAGAAAAAACTAACACAGTGTGCTGGACTAGAATGAAAATCAGTAAACTTCAACTTATTTTTAAGTACAAATAAATACAAAGGGAATAGAAGAGAACTAACATTACCTTAAAGTCTGTTGAGAGCTTACTACAGATCAGTATATTAGACAATTTGGCTATTAGTATTTAAGTTAGAACTCACAATGACACAATGAAGGACACTCATTAAACAATGAGGAGATTTCAATGTTAAAGGCATAGTTTATCAAAAAAAGATACGGAGATAAAAAGCAGCAAATATTTTCAACAGCCTAGGGCAAGACACATTGGAGAACAAATCCAGGACACAGCTGGATTTACCATCAGGTCTTAGGGATGAGTGAAACTCTTCCAGCAAAAACTGTTAGTGTGTCCACCTTTGCAGCAAGCTCTATTTGCTCTACCATTATGATGACTCAGATATACCTTGTCCCTGTTTTTGTCTTATTTGCTCTGTCATCCAAATAACATTTTCTATTAGCTTTAAATTCAAACTCAAAAAAAAGTAAGGAACAGAATAATCTATTAAAAAGAGATCTGGGGCCGGCCGAGTGGCGTGATGGTTAAGAACTCGCTTGGGATGCCAGAGTGCCCCGGTTCAGATCCCACATATGAGGGCCAGTGACACTGCCCTCTACAGCTAGGACGCTGAACAGCAGCTCAACCTGGAGCTGGGCTGCCGTGAGTGGCCGGCGATAGTGTAGGCTGCAGCCCCTGTGGCAGTGGGTTGCCATGGGCTGCCGTGTGTAGCCAGCAGCCGCAGTGAGCAGCTGTCCAGAAGCCGGCAACTGATCTGCCTCGCCTGGGAAGAGCGCAATGACGGTAACAACTTGGGCCAGTGAAGCAACGTCCTCCACAACTAGATTGAGGAACGAAACAACAGCAACTTGTCTGTTCCCCTTCCCCCAATTCCCCAATAAAAAATCTTTAAAAAAAAAAAAAAAGAGCTCTGGCATTGGTATCAAAAAAATTGTGTGATCCCTTGTCTAGGCATTATTTCTGAATAAACTGAACTTCAGTTAGCTCAGCCAAAACATTGAGTATATTTCTATCTTCCATGAAATTTGTTGTACACGTTAGGCATAACTTTGTTAAAGTATTTGTGTAGTACTTGTTATAAAGCAAAACCACAATGTATAGTATCACTTATTTTTCTTACTATGTTTTGTATCTGGTATTCTTGGCCAAATATCATCTAGGACAAGGGGTGCGTGCTACATACCTGGATATCTCACAGATTGTTGGCCAAATTTTGGGCCAGTATAGGCCAATCAGTGGTGGCCAGAGTATCAGGGTCATGGTAAACACTGTGTTAACAATAACTATATAGCTTGGCTACTTAACGAAGTTCTGGAAGGTTTTAAATTTTATCCTAAATTTCATCCTTGTAGTTTTGACAGTTCCCTGCAGCATCTTCAAAAGGGTCAATTGGGGCAAACTTGCCAGCTTCACTTATCCCTTTATAAAGACTCTCAACAGTGTCTATGGCCCAAAAATTGCATAATAAATTCATAATTAAATTATTTACTGTAAGTCATCCAACACTATCTTTTCTCGTTTGAAAAAAACTCCTGAATAGACTAGGTCCCATGAATGAAAGAACATCTTTTGCCAAATTTGACACCCACTCTAAATTGACAAAGCTGAGCTTTGAAGCCAACCTAAATACATTTGGGATTTTTGTGATCATTTACCCATGACCTAACCTAACTTCCTATTTTGAACAGAAAAGTTAATATTCACCCACATTTGAAAATCCCCAAAGATTTCTCAGACACCGCAAGTCCTCTTCAAACCCAAAGCTGGAAGAACAAATGTAAATAAAGCAAAGCATGTGGGATTCGTTTCCGTTAAAATGTAAATTAATTTTTTAAGTTCAAACAAAGGTCATTTGAAAAATTCTAAGAGTTGTACCAAGCCCAAACATGTATATATCATGGAACTGTGATGATAGGTTCTTGATTTCCAGTGTGCACATAGGAACACAACATTGGAATTGTACTTGTTGCCTTTGAAAGATGTATTAAGAAACAAAGGCAATATGAAAGCCCTCGGAAACCTAGAGTATGGTCATTAGTATAAATAATCCCAAGTATTTCCAAGTAAGTTAGGAAAACCAACTCACTGAGGGTGAAACTGAGATCAACTGAATCGTATAGTGACCTCCTGCTTCTCGTTTCTTCTCCTCCGAAATCAGTAGTAAGATAGAGGCATTCTTTAGAGCTGTACTCTCTAATAAAACTGTCTGCAATAATGTACATGTCCCCCGTTCTACAGTGTCCAATACAGTAGCCACTAGTCACATGTGGCTATATTAAAATATGGCTGGACTGAAGAACTAAATTTTTAATTTAATTTAATTTGAATTTCAATCATGTTAAGTTTACCTAGCTTCCTGTGGATAGTCGTTACTGTAATGAACAGTGAGCTCTACAGAACAGGGATATGCTTCTCCTTAAATAAATTTCTATAATAATAATAGTAACTAGTAATGATAATAATCAACACCTAACATTTGCTAAGCACCTCGGGCTTTGCATAATTATTCCTCACAGAGCCATTTCCGCTGTCATCCATGCCCTGGGTGTTGGTAGATTTACTCTTGATGAGATCCTATCCTAAAATAACTGGAAGTTACAACCCCAGTGATAAGTATAATGCAAGCACTAGACCCAGGAAAATAGAGCACAACAGTTGGTAGAAGCACTGATGAATGAGTTCAGTGGACCAGATGGGAAATCCCACGCAAGGGTAGCACAAAGCAGAGACTATTATGCACCAAGTGAGGGTGGTGGGCTCATAAGAGTCAGTGGTCCTTTTGCAAGACAACAGGTTATAGGTGATCTTGGTGTATGTCCCAGTCCTAGCTCTAATGACAGTGGAGTCCTCTGAAAGGAGGGGGGGGGGGAAGAAAATAGGCAACTAACAATGAACTCCAAGGAATGTGTTATAATCACGGGTTTTAACAATCTGTTGGGATTGGGATAAGAATATTTGCAAGTGAGGAAGAGCTTGCTTTGTTGACTTTGGAGTCATACTTGACTCCTCTTTCTCTCACACTGCTCAGTTGATCTCTTCAGCAAATGCTATTGGCTGTACCTTTAAAACATATCCAGAGTCTAACCACTTCTCATCACCTCCACTGGTCTGAGCCACTGTCATCTCACACGTGAATGATTGCAATTGTCTGCTCATTATTCTTTTTGTTTCCACCCTTGCCCCATTATAGTCTTGACTCAGAAAAGCAAACAGAGTGATTCTTTAAAGAATAAGTCAAATGATGCCACTTTGCTCAAAGTCTTCACTGGCTTCCATCTCTGAATAAAAGGCAAATCCTCTAAATGGCCTACAAGCCACCATGTGATCTGATCTCATCTTCTGCCATCCTCTGCCTTAGTCACTCCACTCTGAACGGGCTGCTTTCCTGAACATCTCAGGATGCTCCTTCCTCCAGGCCCTTCTACTCTAACGCTCTTACCCCAGACTTGAACATCGACCTTCTTATCTTTGCTATAAAGTCATCTTCACAGTGAAGTCTTTCCTGATCACCCTATCATAAATTCACCACCCAAATTCGTATTACCCACATTTCCCTCTATTTCTGCTCTATTGATCTCCATAAAACTTATCATAATCTAATATACTGTTTTCATATTTTTAAAATTTCCTAAATCTCTCCATTAATATAAGCTTCCTTAATATGGGGATTTTTTTTTATATTTTGTTCATTGTTTTATTCCCAGCAAATAGAGAATTTCTTACCAGGTAGTAGCCACTGAAACAAATTAATACAGTGACTTAATGAAGCTTTCTGGATAGAGATTTGATTAAAGGGAAGTCTGATAAACCCCTAAAAGTTTATTTTTGGGCCAAAGTTTGCATGCATTTAAATTATTTTACTTGCCTTCAGATGTCTGTTTTCCCAATTTCAATGAACAAAAAATGGCCCACAGCTATATATTGTTTTTAAGAGAATTTCTCTCCAATTAAGTGTGCATGGATCTTACTTGGCCACACTTGAAAAATGTAGATTCATGGAATTTTACAGCTGGAAGGGGCCTCAGGGAACCTACTCCAGGGTCCTCAAACTATGTTCCCACAATAGCTAGACCAAGCTTTCCCACAATAAAATTGAAGAATGCAACATTTTTTTTCCATTTTGGAAAGTTTAGAAAAAATTTCACAAATTTTTTCTCTAATAAATTTTTCTTAAGCTATTGGTACTACAGCCACTTATCAACAAATAAGTACTAACAGACAGCAAAAATCAGTAAATAAGAAGCAAACAGGTGAAAATAAAAAAACCCAGAAATGTTATTGCAACAGCTTGACTTATCATAGGTACACGCGAATGATTGTGATTATATTTTGCGCTATATAACCATATTTTATGCTAGTACAATGATCCCTAGTCTGTCTGATAAATTAATGATTATGTGTACATGATATTCCACTAAAAATGTATGGTATCTGTAAAAAAGAATTTGAACTGCAGGTTCTCTCATGTTCAATAAGGGGCAGGTTCTGATCTTGTCTAGCCCCTTAATTCCACAGATTCAGCAACTTACAAGAGAAAAGACTTGCACAAACTCACCTAGTTAATAACAAAAATAGATAATGATAAATCTTTTCTTCTGACCTTTTTCTTCCTGGTTTTAAGCCTCAAGAATTCAATCAACTTTTTAACATTCTCAACACTTTACTATGCAAGGAATATGTACTAAAAAATCTGTCTATTGACGAGAGTGTAAGTTTTCTGGCACCCTTTTCTATCCTCCAAACAAACTCGTTTTTTAAAATTACTATGTAAGTAATATTTTTTTAAAAGGAGAGAAAGTTACAAACTACTCAGAAATATAAAAAGAAAAGGAAATTGTTTACTTCATCTTTTTTCAGACATGGTCCCAAACTAGAGACTCACGGACTGTTTCCAGGCCCAAAACAGGTTTTTCTTGAAGAATTTCCACTGAAGAATTTGTTAGAAAGAAGGGGAAAGGCCAACATATAAAGATTAGATGATTTCCAATTTTAAAGTATTCTAAATTTCTGACTTCTTTTAAAACACCAGAAGATATCACTACACTAAGCCCACAATCCTGAGTAACAATAATCATCAGAATCTATGTAGTGACTATTCCCTTTGTAAAAGCCTAGAGTTTCCTGTTCACCCCAATTCTCTTCACCCTTGTCTCCAACAAATGCCAGTTTCCATCTATTATCTAATTTGATCTGCATTATTATTTTATTATAGTAAAATATTTCTCTTCTCCATGTCACCATCAAAACTGAGAAAGAAAAAAAGAACTAAGATGGGAATGAAAAAATTGTTTTAAATGTGAAGAATCACATTTATTGTGTGGAAATGAAGAATACTCCTACGTGTTTTCATATGCATCTGATGTGTATCTGTATGAAAACAACTTGAGATGGATTTTTTTCATGCTCTAGTCCATGGCTTTGAGTTTGTGATTTCTGATTTATAGTCATGGTTACCAACCCACCTCACAGATAGTAACTGAAAGCCATGAACTTCCTGTTTTCTTTTGCCCCTGAAGAATATTTATTACTAAGACTGCTAACACATCATGGACACTTGTGTCATGACTAATGTCTCGGAAACTTCCTTGCTACCCACCTTACAAACACACACAAATACTCATAAACCACCCGTTGAACGAAATCGCTCTAAGTGGTTCTTTGCCAAGGAGTAGTCATTCTTTGTGACGTTCCCGGGCTCTTAACCCAAAAGCACTGCAACTTGGATTAACCTCTGAGTATGAAGTGGCCTGGCTTTTCAGTAAAGCAGTCAGACTTGCTCCCTTCAAATTTTTGGTTTTATAAGATTTTCATTTTTATATTTGTAAAATTTCAATTTTTAATTTTATGAGATTGGCCAGATCATAATAAGACTAAAAGAGACAGCTAGAGAGAAGCAGAAAAGAAAAATGAGAATTTGTCATCTCCAAAAAGGGATTAGCGTTCCTGATACTTGCCTCTAAGGCTAAATGATTGTTCCCTTTCAGAATACTGCATTTCCCCATGTATAAGACGCTCCCATGTATAAGACGCACCTTAATTTTGGGGCCCGAAATTTGAGAAAAAAAAAAGTATTACATTAAGTTATTGAACTCAAGTTTTATTCATCATAAAATTCATACAACTCCTCATCGCTGTCAAAACTCACAAATAAAATTCCCATTGTATAAGACGCACCCAGTTTTTAGACCCCAAATTTTTCGAAAAAGGGTGCGTCTTATACATGGGGAAATACGGTACATATATTTGCCTAAATTAGATTATGTTGTTATAATGAAAAGAGCTTCATTTACTTTTTTTTTAACATCTCCGGGAACTGACTTATGCCAAGTGGTTCCTACGTGGGCTGATGGCCCTTTGTTCCAAGTGGTTTTCTATAGTAGTTCATGTGACCAGAAATCCACAAGAGTGGGCTGCATGAGTCTTTTATTAATAACATTTATTAATTGGTAAAATATAACCCAATAAATGGGCAAAACATGCCAAAGTAACCTAAACATAGTTTAATCAATTTCTTAAATATAAAAGTTTGTTTAATTGACCCAGTGCTATTAATTGATCAATGTTGACCACGTAATGAGAATGCAGTGTTATTATTTAAAGAAAGGCTACAGAATACTATTCAGGGCTCATTCCAATTCTTAATCTAAATTAACATCATCAGTGGTGACTTTCAGACATATTTGGTAATTTCTGCTAAATTTTTGCAGTTTGGCCACAGAGCTGAATATTTTATTAATTTTAAGATATGTGTACACAAATACAAAATTCCAGGTTTTGTGTGTCAACTTGTTGAGAAAATTCACTTACAGCTTCATCAATTTTTTTGGATATTGAGGCTGTAGTTATAGAAGACTTGTGATTATCTAAGGAGATCTTAAGCTTTGTCTTCTAAGGATGTCTGCCAAAACTTAAAGTGTGCTTTATGTTTCTTGTAATTTGACAACTTCCTCTGAATTTGGACCTTCATTTATACCAACATATCTTAAAATTTGGGCAATCTGTGTCTTTACTAAACCCAGGGAGATCAGAAAAAGGAAATGAATCTCCATTTACTCAACTTGCAAATTTGGTTTGAGTCTGGATATTTCACTTTCTTACCTAATTTGCTTTTTCTTTATGATTAAGTTTAATTTGTGGTGTTATTTTATAATATCAGTAAGAAACTCCCATACCATGATCTGAGGGGTCTGACAAGTTGGTTCTTACAGCTGTCCTTATTACAAAACTTTCTTAATAACAACACATAGTTTAATTCTCTTGAACACGTTTTCACCTCTTATCCAGGTGACAGCACAAAAATAGGCAAGTGGTTCATAATTTTCTTGTAATTCCTACCTACACTGGTAAGGTATGATGATAAGTAGGAAAACTATTTATGATGTTGATAATTCCTTTTGTCATGTCATGAAATGAACCCAACTTGGAAAGCTCACAGCAAAACTTGCCTGGTGAATTTGGACACTAGGCATATGCATAATCTTTCGGAACATGAATAAACTGTTGAAAGCTTCTTTAGTCTCTTACATCACAGTGCTCTATCTGAAGGAAGTAAAATCAATCTTCCAAAGTTTGATCAAATCTCTCATCTGGCAAAAACTTACTTTGTTATCTTATTCTTAAAAGATTGCTAAAAATTTCAAACAGTCGACACTGGGAGTCAGGTGGCCACCGGCTACTCTAACTTAGAATATTTCTTTACAACCTCTGCTCCTTTTGTTTCCCCCAAGCTTTGTGGACCAGTTTCTTGCATGCTGTAGTTCTTGTTCACCACCCACCTTCCTCATCCAAAGTAGAAGCGACAGACAAAAGTGCTACCTCATATGCCAGTTGTTTCCTATAACCTACGTAAAACCAGCTCATAAAATGCTAGGCAACCTAAAATAAATGAATATTAATACAACTTTGCCCACGGGCCCTATTTGATTCATGACTGAAGCGACAGTTGGCAGAAACACTATTTTTAAACCAGCTCAGCTGGTATGTTGCTATGTGTGATCTAGGAACTTTCATCTTTCTCTTTGTATTTTCTCTGACTCACGGCATGGGCCCTATCCACAACTGTGTCATAATGGAAAAATTTATCTTCCATTTTGGATTCTGACTTAGCCTTTCCTTTTTTTCCCTGTCACTAGCTTAAAACATAATGTTTAATTCTCATATTGTAAGTTCCTTTACTACTTTGTCTTTTGGTCCTCACTATTCCTTGGGTCCTCCAACCACTGGACCCAGTTCAAGGGGCGTAGTTTATGATTTCTATAATTCATGATCACTTTTTGAGGCTCTATGGAGAAGATGATATTGGAAATGGACTTTAAGGATGGTTAATATTCTAACAAGCAAAGGTGGGGCAAGTGTAGGTTTTCAACATCCCCCAAACATGCAGAGCTCCTGGGCTGCCAGGAAGTGACCTTGTTTACTTTGTAAGTCATAAAACAGGTACCTGACCAGTTTCCTGATAAGGCTTTGAAGGCATTGATTCCACATATGAAGTGTATCCCTTATTCATTAATGATGAACTTGTTATGCCTGATTAAATAAGACTATTCTCATATGAAAATGCAAGAATAGAGAATAAGACTATTCTCCAGAAAATGCAAGCAATTTGGTTGCATAATCAGGTTGTTCAACTACACTCTGAAAAAAGGGAAACAATTTTCATGGTCCCTATGCAAATAACTACATTGTTATTAATATGGCAGAGAGAGAAATGGAGAAAGAGAAAGAAAAGAGTAAAAGGATTTTTTTTCTGAATTCTGAGGATCAGTGAGAACAAGGAAGCATTTAAAGAATGTTCTGCTAAATTAATGATTACAGAAAGAGTAAGAACAAAAAGAAAAGATGTCAACTTAGGTCTTATCTTTCTTCATCATTTACAAATGGGTTTTTCAGGCTCAGCTTTTATGTGTCAGCTTAGAGGTTTCATCTTCTGAGAAGCTTTCACTGATCTCCTAGACTAGGTTAAGTGTCCACCACACATGATTTTATTGCACTATTTATCCATGATTAGGTCTACTAAAACATTACTTATAATAAAAAAAATTGGAAATGACTTGTTCAAGCCACCCTTCTACTAGTTCTTTGTATCTCTAGACCCACAGGGTAGAGAGATGAGAAATAAAAGGGAATTGTTGAATTTTCTTGTTCTTTCCATGTTCTCCTTCTTCCTACAACCTCAATGTGTTCATGCCATGGTTCATTATGATTTTATACTCACCTCTGCAGATAACTCACCTTCAATGTATTTCTGAATTTGTTTTTCCAATATAACTTTTGATCTATATTTACACACATTCATCAGCCTTCTTCACCAAAGGTGTACACATTCATGTTAAAGTTTACTTTTGCCTTTTTATATAAACTTAGGTTTATACCATTATGTGAACTTCAGAAGGCTGGTTCTTATCAGCCAAAAGATACGTTAAGTGTCATTTGCTCAGACAGATCTTTTCTGACTATCCAAATGAAAGTAGCCACCAGCCATTCTACTATGATTATCTGTGTAGTGTTTATTCCTATGTGACATGTTTTCTCATTTATTCACTTATTGTTTACTGTTTATCTTCTCCCAACAAATCATGAGCTACATGAGGGCAGGGACTGTGCCTATCTTATTTACTCCCTGAGAATGGCTTGGGATTTATAAAGCTAAATAATTTTAAACCTGTACCTACTCCTGCCTTACAATTGTGGACTCAGTCAAGGACCACAAGAGAGTAAAAGTAATTAATCACTTTCATTGACTATGATTCAAAAAGCAAAACTCCATTGTAACATAGACTATAGTAGATAGACTCATGAACAGCATGTTAAATTTTGGCTCCAAAAGAAAAAAATTCAATAAAATAACAATACAATGCAGCTTGGGTAAGCTATTAGGTTAAAATGCATTATCACACTCCTGCTAAGTCAGCAACATCCTAAAGAAGCTCCACTGTTAAATGGCACCTCATTCTAGCAGAAATTATGTTAGGAAGCACAAGTGAGTAAGGCAGGATCACAGGCCTTACCTCTGATTCATAGAAAGTGATTAAATATGCACCTAAACAATGAATGCAAATTGTTTTTAAATAAAGCTATTCTTGGCATGCATGAAATATTAATCTCTATTCCTGAATAGTTTCATAACAAAACCTTCAGTGTTTTCATTTGACATGAACACATCCTATCTATTACAGGTTATTTGGTTTCCTGTAAATGTAACTTGACAGAGTGATCCAAACGATAAGCAACACATTCAGTGGCCGCCCGTTATTTAGTGTCACACTGCATTTCAACAAAAGCCATTACATCCTGTGTGACAGGAAAATGGGTGGAGAACCTTGTATATCAAACTTCCAGAAATCCTTGTTTACAGGCTGACTTTTTGTGTTGCTGTGTGGCTGTCCAAAACTTTTTTCAGCAGGTCATGGCTTTTTTTCCTAGGGAAGTTATCTTTATAAAACACATTGATAATCTTTCCTTTTTTTATATAACAAAATATCTAACACACACACACACACACACACACACACAAGTACACACATCAGCATTAAAGACTCTCAAATAAAAGTTCTGAACCAGAGGAAAAAATACTATCAAGTGATAAATAATTTTATAGTGACTTATAATGTTTTGCTTATACTATAAGTATAGGCAATTCATAAGTATTTATTAAACCACTGACTCAAGAAATTAAAGCACAAGCTTCCCATATACTTTTTGCTGTTTAAGTTCTAAAGACTTCTTGTAGGTTCCTGAACAATAAATATATATTTTTCACAGAAGTGACAGATCCTACTGAGAGGTAAATTTAAAGGATTTCTATATATTGAAAACTAAATTTAAACAAAGAAGCCATTCTACCCCCAACCTCTGTCAGAAAACCGTCCTGCACCTGATCCTCTGACTTACCCTGTGTTCCTCTCCCAGTAGTTCAGCGCTTTATCAGCCTCACCCAAATGAAATCAAAGCACTGATTTGTCTTCTTGCCCCCTCAGATTTTTCACAATTGAAACAAAAGCCCCGGATTCCTATTTCTGCCTCTGAGTATTTCACAACCCCTCTTGTGCAGCTACTTAGAAAACATACTCACTGTTCCTTCCTTTGTGCTCTCAGAGCAGGTTGTGGGACCTTTAAATAGCATTGATCTCTATCTACCTCTGTTGATTTGTCTGCTAACCAACCAGATCTCTTTTTAACATGTCCCCAACCTTAGTCTGTATGCCCCCATCCCTATCCCTATTCCAGCACTTAAACAAGGGCTTCACAGTACGTGTTGATAAATGAACCAATAACAATCTGAATTTAAAGACAAGAGGAGTTCAGCTGATATTTTGTGGTCCTTCCCTATAAAACTCTTGACAAGATAATTTTTGATGTATTGAGCCATGAAGTAGTAGAATCTCAAGGGCAGCTCATTAAATAGCAGACAATCTAATAGTATTCTCATTTCCTTTATGTGTTAAGTTTCAAATTTTCTTTTTCTTTTTTTT